GGGGGGGGGAGGCATGAAAAGTCAAAAAAGTTATTTTAGAAGTTATTCACTTTAACCATTATATATAGCACTATTTGATGAACACACACACAGATTGCCATGCTGTGCTGACATGTGTCTATTTGAAACTTACAAGATTCAATAATCCCTGTTTACATGCTGTACACATGTTATTCATTCTGTTAAGACTTGGAATCATTAGCCCAGTTTCTTGCTAACTTAGCTGGAAATGTTGTTAGATTGAAGATGGGCCAGCATGAGGTGAAAAAGGTTACATTAGGCCTCATTAATTGTAGTCTTATATCTGTTAGGTTAAAGGGATAACCACTCTTCGTATGGGATCCATATTTCACAATAAATATATTGTAAACAACTGTTCCAGAGTCTAATGTAGAAATAAAATAAATTCCGTTTTACCACCAAAATGACGGTTATCGCAATTATTCTGGAATCTGTGCTTGCCATCAGAACATGTGACCTCCATAGATGGCTACCCTCTGAAAAAATCTCTTTAGAGGATATTACAAAAAAACGAAACTTGTTAGAAAAAAAAACATGGACTAACTTTAAATGTCTGAGCAGATTAATTAAAAACCAATGGTAAGTAAGGGAAAATTGCCGTTTACCCAAGGGAAATCCATTTTTGGGCCAAAATGAACAGTTTTTATCCCTTAAAGTCCTGTTTAACCTGCTTAGAACTAAACTTCTGAAGTGAGGTACGGTTGGTGTACATTCCAGTAGTTTTGGTTTTGGGAACTGATTACAATCTGTAGAATATATACCCCCCAAAATAATTGACAATTTAATCATAGATTTGATGTTAAATATATAAATAAATATGAAAAGTACAGGCTCTTTGGTGTACCATTTGCACACATGGCATTATCTCACATACACACACAGTCATGTGCGTGCATGTACACATTCATACACAAACGGATATAGCTTTATTAGATCAGAATATTGTGATTAAGATTTGCTGTATAGTGAAAACAGTCCATTCAGTTCATCCCAGATTAAACCCAATTAATACTGTTCCAGACTCTACCAGCCCAGTTTATCTTGATCCAGACTAATGAATGTATTACTCATTGTTTGGCTCCAGTATTTCCAAGAAAACAGCTTTTGGTGCCCCAGGAGTTATTAAAAGCAAGCAGTATATTATACAATTTTATTTGTTTTGCTTATGTTCACTCCATCTCATGCCTTCTTTTAACAGTGTCAATGTGGACTCTGGACCAGCACATGTGAACATCCTCAATACCCTCTGAAACATTGCATAGTAGTTTTGTTTAGTTTGATTGCAATCAATCACAAGTTGATTGCATTATCACATGTGGTGTCAGCTGATCCAAACACCCTTGTGTAAATGCTGTGCATAGAATATGTCTTGTATATAGATAAAGACAAGATTATGACAGATCAAGGCCCTTTGCTTCATCAGCACAACACTTCTGGGACAATCAATCATATTGAAAAAACGCTACTGCTTTTCATGTAATCAGAGCTTGACAGTCCAGAGTTGTCCAGTCACAATTCTCATTGCCAATCTGAGAACATAATTATGTAAGTGTCTGCTGAATGTGTTGATGCCATGATGTAGTTTTAAATTGGGTTTTATCCATTTGGTAAGAGACAGCAAAATTGTGAGGTGGGTCTTTGACGTGTGTACTTCTTGATGGCAAAAACAAATAAAGAACCAAAGAAAAATATTTTCCCTGACATTGCAAAGTTATGAAACTTGCATAATCCCGGAGTTGTGTTATTTATGACCCACATTTACAGTTAGACTGTCTGTCATCCTCAAGGTCACCTCCTGTGTGAGATTTAGTGTGGTGACAAGTGCTTTTGATTCATTGTTCCAGAGTCTAATGTAATGGGGGAAATGTAATTTAATTAAGAATAGCATGTTTGTTAATGAAAAAAAAATCTTTGAAATATGACTTCATTGGGAAAGCCATAGGAAATTCAAGGAACCTGAAACAAAATGTAAATAATTTCAATTTTTTATCATCTGCAATGTGGATTTACTAATGAGGATTGAGTTAAAGTGGAAAAGTTAAGGTACACATCCAAGAAAATGGACTTGAACAAGTTTTATCCCCTTGTAATGTAAATTACAACATTTGAACCATTAAAGGAGTTTGATTTTCAGCCAAAAGATAACATAAATTACAATGGTAAAAGAGACACAGAATGTGGTAAAAATGGGTATGGGATTGTTTGCCAGTATTTTCATTTCAAAAATTCACTAGCATCAAGAGCAGACTGAAATGCAGTTCAGAGCTAGCTAGCATGTTCATTTATATAAAATGTTTCAATCCCTTTTATTAGTAACATGTTTGCAACATGAGTTCACTTATTTAAAGAAATTTCCTTTAAAGTAAGTGAACCCGATCTTCACAAGACTACGGCCTCTCTCCCATCCTTATTAGAAGCTTTGTTCATTTTCTCAAGTAGTCCAAGTGTTCCAAGAGCAGTTAAATCCCTTTCCACCTAAAAACCCATTTCTTTATTAGGCACCATTTAGTTTTAAATTAGATTGTGATCCTAGTGGTGCGCTATCAAGAGATCTCAAAGGAGAAGCACAGCAGTGTGATCAAGTACTTCTGATTAGGTCTCATACATTATATATGTATATGTGATTCAGAACCACAAGGCATCCACAATTTGTACAGAAATATAAATAACTTAACTGGCCTTTTCCAGGCTTTACTGTTGAGACAAACATCCAGAAAATTTTCCAATTATAAAAGAAAATGTTTAGATAGGGTCTCTGGTATCAGTAAATCTGATTATTCCTGGCTTTTGATTATCAGAATTCCAAATGAAAAAGGGTAACCTTATTGTATTCTATACAGTTTGTTATTCTAATG